GATAGATAGATAGATAGATAGATAGATATATGGAGATAGATAGATGATAGATAGATACATAATAGATAGATAGATAGATAGATAGATAGATAGATAGATAGATAGATAGATAGATAGATATATGGAGATAGATAGATGATAGATAGATACATAATAGATAGATAGATAGATAGATAGATAGATAGATAGACAGACAGACAGACACATACATACATACATACATACATACATACATACATACATACATACATGTCTCAATCTCGGCCTGGCCTTCGGGAGGGAAGTGGTTTTAGAGGGAGCCTCTGGGGATCACAACGCTGCCCAGGCCCAGGGAGGTTCCTGGCAGCCGCTGTCCTTCTTGTGCTGACTTTGGCCGCGTCTCCACGGTCTTTGGCTTCTCCGAACAGCCCTGGGATACAGTGAGCCTCCTGAAGACGTGACAGGGCCAGCCCCATCTGTCTCCCAGACAAAGGACAGCTGTTGGGAGCTGGAGAAGCGACAGGCTGCGGGACAGGTTTGGGGAGGGGGGGGCTGATCATGGGGGGGGGGGGGGAGAGACAGCACCCTGAAACAAGGAAGGAAACCTGGTTTGTGTGACAAACCAAGCTGGGTATCTCCCGGTTAAGCCTTTGCCCGTAGCTAGGGGCTCCATCCCAGGAAATGTAGCTGGCCGCATGGCCAGTCTAGAGAAAAAGAGGATTTTTGGGGGGTGGGTGGGTGGGGCGACAGGATAGCAGCGTTTCCAATATCTCAGGGGCCGCCCCAAAGAAGAGGGAGTCAAGCTATTCTCCAAAGCCACTGAAGGAAGGACAAGAAGCCATGGATGGAGACTCATCCAACCCGGAACTAAGGAAATACTTCCTAACGGGGAGGACAAGGAACCAGTGGAACTGCTTGCCACCAGAAGTGGCAAGTTGCTCCAACACTGGAGAGTTTTCAAGAAGAGACTGGACAGCCATTCGTCTGGAGTGGCCTAGGGTCTCCTGCCTGAGCAGGGGGTTGGACTAGACGACCTCCAAGATCCCTTTCCAGGCCTATGATGTTGAGATTGACAGATAAGATACGTGACAGAGGGAGGGAGGGAGAGATGGACGGGTGGGCGAGTGAGTGAGGGGATGGATGGATGGATGGAATAACTTCCCTTCAGAAGTTGTGGGTTGCTCCATCCTTGGAGGCTTTCAAGAAGAGACCGGACCACCCGTTGTCTGGAATGGTCGAGGGTTTCCTGCTCAGGCAGTGGGTTGGACTAGAAGACCTCTGAGGTCCCTTCGGACATGGTTATCCTGGCCAAGACTTTGGGGTTCATCAAGCGGAGCGAAGCTGCCGTCCGGTTGGACACCTTCCCAACGTCCCAGACGCGCTTCTCCTCCTCTTCCTCCTCCCGCAGGTACCTGGCCAAGCTCTCGTCGGTGGGCAGCATCTCCGAGGAGGAGACCTGCGAGAAGCTGAAGGGCCTGATCCAGCGCCAGGTCCAGATGTGCAAGAGGAACCTGGAGGTCATGGACGCCGTGCGCCGCGGGGCCCAGCTGGCCATTGAGGAGTGTCAGTTCCAGTTCCGGAACCGCCGGTGGAACTGCTCCACCTTGGAGAGCCTGCCGGTGTTTGGCAAGGTGGTCACGCAAGGTAGGGGAGGCTCCACAAGGCAGGGGAGGGGGGGGGGGTGGGCAGGAGGCCGGTGGGGAGGGGGAGGGGGGGGGGGGGGACTTGTGAAACCGCCGGGGGGGGAGGGGGAAGGGAATTCTGGGGTGGGGTGGGGTTGAAGTCCATGCGCTTTTGGAAGTCGCTGTGGTTGAGGAACATTTTGACAGCTTTGAATTTCTTCTTCCTCCTCCTCCTCCTTCTCTTCTCCTCCTCCTCCTCCTTCTTCTCCTCTTCTTTCTTCTCTTCTCCTCCTCCTCCTTCTCTTCTTCTCCTCCTCCTCCTTCTTCTCCTCTTCTTTCTTCTCTTCTCCTCCTCCTCCTTCTCTTCTCCTCCTCCTCCTTCTCCTCTTCTTTCTTCTCTTCTCCTCCTCCTCCTTCTCTTCTTCTCCTCCTCCTCCCTCTTCTCCTCCTGTCTTCCAACCCTCCTCTCCTTCTTCCTTCTCCTCCATCGTCTTCCAACCTTCCTTCTTTCTTCTCCTCTTTCTCCTCCTCCATCCTTTCCTTCTCCTCCGTCTTCAAACTCCTTCTCCGTCTCTTCCTTCCTTCTCCTCCTCCATCACTCCTTCTCCATCCTCTCCTGCACTTTCTCTTCCAACCCTCCTTCTCCTTTTCTTCTCCTCTTTTTCCTCCGTCCTCTCCTTCTCCATCTCTTTCTTCCTTCTCCTCCTCCATCACTCCTTCTTCTCCATCCTCTCCTCCACTTTGTCTTCCAACCCTCCTTCTCCGTCTCTCCTCCTTCCTTCCCCTCTTCCATCACTCCTTCTCTTTTCCTCCATCCTCTTTTCCCATCTTCTCCCGTCTTCTAATTCTTCCTTCCTTCCTTCTCCTCCATCACTCCCTCTTCTCCATGCTCTCCTCCTTTCCCTTCTCCTGTCTTCCAACTCTTTCTCCTCTTCTCCTCCATTCACTCCTTCTCCTGTCTTCCAACTCTCCTTCTTCCTTCTCCCCCTCCGTCACTCCCTCCTCTCCTTCTCCTCTGTCTTTCAACCCTCCTTCCTTCTCTTCCTCCCCTGCACACCTTTTATTCAGTCACTCAGCCTTCCTAGTCGGTCACCAGAGCCTGCAATAAAAGGTTGCAGTGTGGAACAAGAGCTGCCAAACGTGGTGGAGACATAAATTCCTTTTTTTTTCTCCCCTCTCTCCTGCTTTTGAGGTTCTAATGTTCAAATACCATGTTTTTTTGTGTGTGTTGTTTTATTTTGGCAAGAGAGTCTCCCCTTTGCAGCTGCACCTTACTGACAGATTTTCAGGGCATTTGCAGAAGGGGGAGTGGAGGTTAAAAAAAAAAAGCCAGGAAAAGGGGTGAGATTGGGTAGAAATGCTTCTGTCTCCATTTATTGGTCGCTGGAATTGCATCCGGCCTCCGGTTTAACCAAGGAAGCGGGGAGCCTCGTCCTTTTGCAAAGCCCCCTTGGCTTCTTATTTAACTTTCTCTTGCTTTTCTTCAGGGAGGGGAGAGAGGGAAAGGAAATGCTGCCCGGAGATCTGTGCCCTGGAAATACCAAAAATACCAAGGAATGAAGCTCCCTCTCTCTCGCTCTCTCTTTCGGGCGGGCCACAGAGCAAAACCAACTCTGTCATTAACCACAATTAATGCAAAAGGTCCTGGCAGTCGCTTCTCCAGATTGGAAGTCCCGAAGCCAAAAGTGCCCAAATTTGGAAAGTTTTTTTAAGGGGGGGGGAGGGCTTTTTCCTCCCCAAAGCCTCTCCTCTCGCGAAGGAGGTCACCTCTGTCCCCTCCTGGGCTGCGTTTGGAGGGGAGGGGAGGATGGGCGAGGGAGTTGAAGCGAAGGGCAGAGGCCTCCTTGGAGACAGGAGCCTCTGTCGGGCGGGCCAACCGCCCTTGGCAGGAACGGGGGCGTCCGCAAGATGGGACGGAGAAGCCAGCTCAAACCGATGTTCCCTTCCTTTGGGTTGACCCACCCACCCACCCACCCGCTGGCATCACACGAGACGGCGGCTTCTCCAGAGGGAATGGGCTTGAGGATTATCCCCTCGGAGGAGGAGGAGGAAGCGTTGTGGCCCGTTTCTCCTAGGGTGGTAGATTTAGCAGTGGGAAGGGACCGTGTAGGTCATCTAGTCCAACCCCACCCCCCACCCCACCCAAGCAGGGGACCCTACACCATTTCTGACCAATAGCAGTCCAGTCTTTTCTTGACAGCCTTCAAGGATGAAGCTCCCACAACTTCTGAAGGCAACTTCTGTTCCGTTGGGTTGATGGTTCTCACTGTCAGGAAATTGGAAGGGACCTTGTAAGGTTGTCTAGTCCAACCCCCTTTCCAAGCAGGAGACCCCACACCATTTCTGACAGATGGCAGTCCAGCCTCTTCTTGAAAGCCTCCAGGGATGATGAAGCTCCCACAACTTGTGTTCCACGGGCTGACTGTCCTCACTGGCAGAAAATTTCTCCTTATTTCCAGGTCGAATCTCTCCTTGGTCAGTTTTCATCCATTATTCCTTGTCTGGCCTTCTGGAAAATAGCTTGACCCCTTCCTCCTCTCTGTGGCAGCCCCTCAAATATTGGAGCACTGCTCTCCTGTCTCCCCTGGTCCTTCTCTTCTTCCCTAGACCAGCCAGGCCCAGTTCCTGCAACCGTCCTTCGTATGTTTGAGCCTCCAGTCCCCCTAATCATCCTGGTTGCTCTTCTCTGCACTTTTTCTAGAGCCTCAACATCGTTTTTTCCCCCCAAGGGCTGGGAGGCCCAGGGTTCGCGGCCCAGGGAGGGAGAAGAGGCCGCCCTCCAGTTCTGTTGGGTTCTTCTCTTTCTTCTGCGTCTCTTCTTACCGGCGTCCGCAGAATTACAGCCGAGGGAAGCGGGGGGGGGCGCGGTTTGGCCAGACCCCCCCCCCACTCCCGGCCACGAGTTGATCCAAAGAGACACATTTCTGTTTGACTAACCCCCCACTCCTGCTCCCAAACTGCTCCCATTCATGCTGGACCGACCACATCTAGGCATCCTTTTTTTGGGAACCGAGAGTTTTTTTAAAAACACACAAACGCACACGCGCACACAGAGGTTTTGAACAAATAAGTCAAAGTGTAGTAAGACCAAGAGCCTTTTCAAACCTGGACGGGAGAAGGACAAAATTTACCCCCGGTGTCTGTTGTGAAACTTTAGGGTTTGTTTGTTTTTTCTTTCTTTCAAATAATTTTATTATATTTTTCCAAAGCAGGCACATTTTTAAAAAAAATGACATTAAACTAAATGGTCAAAAGAAACGATAAAGAGTAAAAAGAGAGGAGGGATAGAAGTCTGAAAAAGTGTAAAGAAAAAGAAGATTCTCTCTCTCTCTCTCTCTCTCTCTCTCTCTTTCCCATCCATCCATCCATCATGTCTCTTTCTTCTCTTTCCTATCCATCCTCCACCCATCATCTATCTCTTATCTATCTCTCTATCTCTCTCTTCTCTGCCTCCCATCCATCCATCATCCATCTTCGTCTCTCTCTCTCTCGTTCTCTCTCTTGTCTCCCATCCATCCATCTCTATCCATCTAATCTCTCTCTCTCTCTCTCTCTCTCTCACACACACACACACACACACACAGAGGCAGTCCTTGGCTTACGACAGTTCGCTAGTGACTGTTCAAAAGTTACAACGGCAATGAAAATAGTGACTTACAACCGTTTTTTTCTGATCTAGCAGAGGCACAATGTGATCACAGGGGTCACTTTTCTTTTTTGGGGGGGGTGTGTGTTTCTGCCAGGAACGCGAGAAGCGGCCTTCGTTTACGCCATTTCCTCTGCTGGCGTGGCCTTCGCCGTGACCAGGGCGTGCAGCAGCGGAGAGCTGGAGAAGTGTGGCTGCGATCACACGGTCCAGGGTGTCAGTCCTCAGGGTAAGTGTTTCTGCTTCCTCTCCTCCTCCTCCTCCTTGCAAACCCCACTCTCTTCTAGCACTGAGGATGTTCCCTAGTTGGGTCATGAAACGTCTGCATGAAAACATCCAAGCTCAGACAGCAACAAGGACCGACCGACTGACCTATCTACCTACCTACCTACCTACCTTCCTTTCCTCCTCTTCCTCCTCCTCTTCATCTCTGCAAACCCCACTACCTTTTAGCCCTGATGATGTTGCCTAGCTGGGTCATGAAACGTCTGCCAGAAAACCCCTCCCAGCTCCGAGGAGCCCACGCAGGTCAGCCCCGAGCTGCAAATATTCTCTCCGATCGACAGCAATCTTCCCTTTTTCCCTCCCTTCTCCAGGCTTCCAGTGGTCTGGCTGCTCCGACAACATTGCTTACGGGGTCGCCTTCTCCCAAACCTTCGTGGACGTGAGAGAGAGAAGCAAAGGGGCCTCTTCCAACCGAGCCCTCATGAACCTCCACAACAACGAAGCCGGGCGGAAGGTAAACAGCACCATGGGCTTGGTTACCCCTCCAGCAAATACTTCTCAAAACCGTCCTGCGTAGGGTTTGCCAGTTGCATGGGGGCAGATGGGACAGCGCTCCAGAGGGTTACGGCCGTGGCCCAGAGGACCGTGGGTTGCCCTCTCCCCTCTTTGGAAGAGCTTTAAGAAAGGTTCAGTACATCCTCAAAGATCCATCTCATCCTGGGCTCCCTTTTTTTTTGAACTATTACCACCTGGCAGACGGTACAGGATAATAAAGACAAGGATAATAACAAAAACAAGGACAAATAGGCTGAAAAGCAGCTTCTATCCCAGGATAGGAACTCTTGTTGCAATAGTCATGCCATGTCAGGGGTTTTCAATTCAATATGTTGTCCAGGGCAACCTCTTCCATCCCAGAATACAGAATGACAGGGTCGGAAGGGACCTCGGAGGTCTTCTAGTCCAACCCCTTGCTCAAGGCAGGAGACCCTAGAGAATATGAATCAATCTATCAGTCAATCTATCAATCAATCAGAATAGAACTGGGAGGGCCCTCGGAGGTGTTCTAGTCCAACCCCTCGACCATTCCAGAGAAGTGATTGTCCCATCTCTTCTTAAAAGCCTCCAGGGATGGAGAACCCACCACTTCTGGTGGCAAGTTGTTCCACTGGTTAATTGTCCTCCCTGTCAGGAAATTCCTCCTTAGTTCCAGGTTGTTTCTTTCCTTGACTATTTTCCATCCCTTATTTCTTGTCCGTCCTTTGGAGAATAAGTGGACCCCTTCCTCTTCTTTGGGGCAGCCCCTCAAATACTGGAAGGCTGCTATCGTGTCCCCCCTTAATCCTTCTTTTCTCTACACCTGGCCAAGCCCAGTCCCTGCAACCGGTCTTCTTCGTATGTTTTCGTCTCCAGGCCTTTTAATCCTCTTAGTCTCTTCTCTCTTCTATTTTCTCTTCTCCTCTCTCCTTTTCTCTCTTCTATTTACTCTTCTCTCCTTTCCTTTTTTTCTCTTTTCTCTTTTATTTTCTCTTTTCTCTTCTCTCTTCTTCTATTTTCTCTTCTCCTCTTTTTTCTCTTCTCCTTTTTTCTTCTATTTACTCTCCTCTTTTTTCTCTTTTCTCTTTTCTCTTTTTTTCTCCTCCTCAATTTTATCTTCTCTTTTCTCCTCGTCTCTCCCCTTCTTCTCTATTTTCTCTTCTCTTTTCTTTTCTTTTCTCTTTTTTTTGATTTTCTGTTCAATTTTCTCTTCTTTTTTCTTGTCTCTCTTCTCGTCTCTCTTCTATTTTCTCTTCTCTTTTTTCTCTTTTCGATTTTCTCTTCTTTTTTCTCGTCTCTCCTCTTCTCTTCTATTTTCTCTTCTCTCTTCTTCTCTCCCCTCTCTCTTCCAAAGGCCCCACCATTCATTTGGTGTGTCTCCCTTGACTTTTTCCCAGGCCATCCTGAACCACATGAAGGTGGAATGCAAGTGCCACGGCGTGTCAGGCTCGTGCGAGGTCAAGACCTGCTGGAAAGCCATGCCGCCTTTCCGGAAAGTGGGCAACGTGCTGAAGGAGAAGTTCGACGGCGCCACGGAGGTGGAGCAGCGGAGGATCGGCTCCTCCACCAAGGTGCTAGTCCCCAAGAATTCCCAGTTCAAGCCCCACACGGACGAGGACCTGGTGTACCTGGAGCCCAGCCCCGATTTCTGCGACCACGACCTCCGGAACGGCGTGCTGGGTACCCATGGGAGGGCGTGCAACAAGACCTCCAAGGCCATCGACGGCTGCGAGCTGATGTGCTGCGGCCGAGGGTTCCACACGGAGGAAGTCGAGGTGGTGGAGCGGTGCAGCTGCAAATTCCACTGGTGCTGCTTTGTCAAGTGTAAACAGTGCCACCGGGTGGTGGAAATGCACACATGTCGGTGACTTTTGGGGGGGGGGGGGGGGGGGAGAAGACAAAAAAAAAGGAGTCCCAAAGAAAAAGAACAATGCATCTTTTTTTTTTAAAGAAAAAAGGAGGGGGGAGAAGAAAAAAAATATTTAAAAGGTTTCCAATCGTGATTGTAATTTGGGGGAGTTTCGACTTAAAACCACGACGGAGTCCCCTCCCCCCAATTTCATGTGACTAAGGGAGGCCTTCGTTAAATCGGACGTTGGCCCCGTTGGACGAGCTTTCCCGCCTCCGTCGTCGTTAAATGAATCGCGGGCAGGGGTTAAGTTACTAATAAGGGGGGGGAGTTTTTTTGTAAGGGGAATCCAGCTTCCCCCAGTTACTGGGCTCCCACTAATAAGGGGGGAATCACCACACACACACACACACACACACACACACACACACACAGGGACACTGCGACCGTCGTAAATACAAGTCAGTGGCCGAGTGACTGAATTTTGCTCACGTGACCATGTGGAATTCTGCGAAGGTCATAAGGGTGAAACAACTGTCCCGAGTCACTTTTTGCAGTGGCATAACTTTGAGTGGTCACTACACGAATGGTTGTAAATCAAGAACTACCTTTATAGGGTTTCCTGCCTGAGCAGGGGGCTGGACTAGAAGACCTCCAAGGTCCCTTCCAACTGTTACTCTATTCTATACTATTCTATTCTATTCATCTATTCTATTCTATTCATCTATTCTATTCTATTCTATACTATTTCTATTCATCTATTCTATTTTATACTATTTCTATTCTATTCATCTATTCTATTCTTCATCTATTCTATTCTATACTACACTATTTCTATTCTACTCTACTCGTATTCTATTCTGCATTCTATTCTATTCCTATTCTATTCCATTTTTATTGTTTTCTTTTCTTTATTCTATTCTATTCCTATTCCATTCTATTCTACTGTTTTATTCTGCATTCTATTCTATTCCTATTTTATTCCATTTTTCTTCCTCTTTTTTCTCTACTCCTATTCTATTCCATTTTTATTCCGTATTCTATTCTATTTTGCATATTTTCTATTCTGTTCTGTATTCCTGTTCCATTCACAAATGGCTGTCCAGTCCCTTCTTAGAAACCTCCAGGGTTGGAGCAACCCACCACTTCTGGTGGCCAGTTGTTCCACTGGTTAATTGTTCTCCCTGTCGAGAAATTCCTCCTGAATTCCAGGTTGCTTCTCTCCATGGTGAGTTTCCATCCCTTGCTTCTTGCCCTGCCTTCAGGGGCTTTGGGGAATACCTTGACCCCTCCCTCTCTTCTTTGGGGCAGCCCCATAGATATTGGAACACTTCTATCATGTCATCCCCAAGTCCTTCTTTCCATTAGACTATCCATGCCCAGTTCCTGCATCCGTTCTTCAGGTTTGAGGGGACCAACTTTCCGGATTGCTGGTTTCTTTTTACGGTGGGTTTCTCCTCTTCGAAGCCCCCCCCCATTTCTCCTGCAACCGGAGGGGAGAGGTTAGGGGGCAGGCAGGGAGGGTGGGTGGGGGGCAGCGCACAACACCGCCTGAGCTAATGGGGCCACAGGAAGATGCTGGAGGTGAGGTCCAGCTGGAGGGGGGTTTTTTGGCCGCTGAACAAGACAGGAAGTTCTCTTGAGACCGGGGAGGCTGAACGTCCGTGCCCGGTAAGGGACCCCCTACCCATTTTCTGTCCCCCACCCCACCCCCAAGAAAATAGGGCAGACAGAATTATGCGCACACCTCATTGGCCTGTTGTGGCACATTCTCCGCCAGGGACTTGTGAGAAAATACTTTTTTTTTTTACTAGATGGGTAAATCCTTGACCTAAGTGAATCCCCCCGCCGTCGTTAAGTGGGTCTGTCTCCCATTGGGTCTCTCTGCCGAGTCCAACACTGAATGGAGAAATTTTGGGCTGGGGGCAGGGGCTGCCTCTTTTTAACGTTTCAGCCACAAGTTATCACAGCAAAGCTGGCGCCCTACGCAACCAGGAGCTGCGCTCGTGGCTGTTGTAGAAAAAAAAAAACCCACGGCTTTGGATTGCTCTGGGTTGTTTTGGGGGGTTTGTGTTGTGTGTGTGTGTGTGTGTGCATGTGCAAAATGTGCTTTCAGCTGTCATCGTGCTGAGTTTCTCCATTGGCTGAGGAAGAAATCAAGCCAGATTTGACCCCTTGTAGGTTTTCTTTGCAACACAGTTTTTTACACACACACACACACACACACACACACAAACTTTGGATGCTGGATCGGGGTGAAATCTCGGAGGCTGTTTTTCCAAGCCATGTGGTCGTTTGTCTCTTAGGTTTGAATCCTTTTTTTTTTCCTCCAGTGTGTTGTGTCTGTTTTTTTTCTAAAATACTGTACAACTAACTAGTTGCAGTAGGCCCTTAGTCTGACTCACATTTTTATTTTATTTTTAAATGGCATTTCTGTTTCATTCCCTTTTGGCTGTGAACGGAAACCTTGAAATCATTGACAAAGCTCAAATCTGAGGTGAAGAACGGAAGCAACATTAAAGTCAAATAAAAGTGGAGAAAGAGAAAGGAAAAAGAGGGAGAAAGAAAAGGAAAGAAAAAGATAGAGGAAAGGAAGGAAGGAGAGAGAAAGAAAGGAAAGGGTAGAGAGGAGGAAGGAAGGGGAAGAGAGTAAGGGGGAGAGAGAAAAAGGGAGAGGGAAAGAAGGAGGGGAGAGAAAAAAAGAAGGGGAGAGAAAAGGGAGAAAGGAAGAGGAAAGAAAAAGGAAAGAAGGGTAGGAAGGAAGAAAGGAAGGGGAAGAGAGTACAGGGGAGAAAGAAAATTTAAAAAGGGTAGAGGGAAGGAAGGAGAAAAAGGAAAGGGTAGAGAAGGAAAGGAGAGTGTAAGGGAGAGAAAGGGGCAGAGGGAAGGAAGGAAAGGAAAAGAAAGGCGGAGAGAGAGAAGGAAGGAGGGGGAGAGGAAGAAAGAAAGAAATGAAAGACAGACGACCAGCTTTCTATAAACTCCCAGGGCTCTAATGCCACCAGATCCAAGCCAGAGCAAAGGAGGACTTATTATTTTTCAACAAGAGTCTCTTAATTGGTTAACCTGTGGAATTCATTGCCTCAGGATCTTGGGGAGGGCAACCAGATCAGCGGGCTTCAAATGGGGACGAGATAAATCCACTGCTGCTATTTTGGGCTGCTGGCGAGAATAGCAACAGGCAACAATCGAAGGGCAAAACTTGTTCTGTCTGTCTGTCTTTTGGGGGTGGGAAGGAGGAGTCTCCCAAAGAAGCAAGAGGCCAGGTCTCCATGAAAAAAACAAAACGCTAAAAGCCTCCGGTGTGGTAGTTTTGGGTGGGTGGAGGTGTGTGTTTCGCTCAGTTCTGGTGTCCCATGGAGCTTAGGACAGAGGAAGGGGGGTTCCCCTTACGAGCAAAGCACAGAGCTGCGAGCGTTGGCAAGCCGTGAAGAAGAAGAAGAGAGTCCCAGAAGGGAAAATAAAAAGGAGAAAGAAAGAAAAAAATGCACAAAGCTCTTTTGAGCCCACTTAAGGCTCCTTGCAGCCAGAAAAGAAGAAGCAAGATCAATTGCTGGAAGGGCCTCCGGAAAGAGGAACAGAAGAATAACAGAATTAACCCAGTCAGTGGGGACCTTGGAGGTCTTCTAGTCCAACCCCCTGCTGTCCAGTCTCTTCGTAAAAGCCTCCAGTGATGGAGCACCCACACCTTCTGCTTTCCGTTCTATTCTGCATACTTTCTGTGTATTTTCTCTATTGTCTACCCTATTTTCCTATTCTATTATTCTATTCCACATTCTATTTCCATTCCATTCTATTCTATTTCCATATTCTATCCTATCCACTTATAGCATTTCAGACTTATATACCGCTTCACAGTACTTCCCAGCCCTCTAAGCGTTTTACAGGGCCAGCCTGTTGCCCCCGACAATCTGGGTCCTCGTTTTACCCACCTCGGAAGGACGAGTCAACCTAGACAGCCGATAGATAGTCAGCAGAGGTGGCCTGCGGTCCAGCACTCTAACCACTGCACCACCAAGGCTCCTCCTATCCTATCCTCTATCCTGTATTATCCTCTATTCCAAGGGTCTTCAAACTTGGCAAGTTTAAGACTTGTGGGCCTTTGCAAACTCCCAGAATCCCTGAGCTAACGTGACCGGAGGAGGAATTCTGGGAGTTGGGAAGTCCACAAGTCTCCAAGCGGCCAAGTTTGCTCTAATTCCATCCTGTGTCCTATTCTATTCTGCCGTGGGGGCACCGTGGCTACTATGCAGTATTGCAGTTTTGCCAACTCTGCCCACGCCCAGCCGTTCGATCCTCCTCACCGACTCAAGGTTGACTCGGCCTTAAGTCGGTAAGAGGAGGATCCAGGTTGTTTGGGGGCAATGGGCTGAATTTAAACCGCGTAGGGCTGTAAAAGCGCTGCGAAAGGTATATATTAAGGCAGCTCTTGCTATCGGGCTGGACTCCAATCCCCAGAGAAACATGTACAGGTGTTTTCCTCTTGCTTGCTCCCGGATCTTAGCAGCTGGGTTCCTTTCCCCCTCCTCACCCCACTGCCATCTGGCCCAAAATAAACACCAGGCTTCCCACTCAACATCTCCAGGCAGCCTCACCTTGCCAAAAGCAACAACAGGGAGGCTTCCATCGGGTGAAGAGGAGGCAGAAAGACTCGATTGTGTTGGAGGACCAGAGGGGGTCAAGAAAGGAGGAGCTTCAGGCAGAGGGGCTGAGACCCCCCCCCACACACACACACACCTGAATTTGGGGTGAAGGTGGGAGAGGCCAGGCAGGCAAGGCAAGGCCTGATTCCAAGTCCTGGGCCAAGGAGGTATAAATATCCCACAAACGGGTATCCTTGGCGTGGCCAGAGGTTCACAACCCAAGTGGTCGGTTCTGCAGGGAGGAGGAGGGGGAGGAGGAGGGGGAGGAATGATGGAAGACATGCAAGAGAAGGAAAAGGAGGAGGAATGATGAAGGACAAGAGGAGGAGGAGGAGGAGGAGACAAGGAGTGATGGAAGACATGCAATAGAAGGAGGAGGAGGAGAAGGAAGAGTGATGGAGGACAAGAAAGAGGAGGGGAGAAGTGATGGAAGACAGGCAAGAGGAGGAGGAGACAAGGAGGCGTGGTGAAGGACAAGAAAGAGGAGGAGGAGGGGAGGAGACAAGGAAGAGTGATGGAAGACATGCAAGAGAAGAAGAAAAAGGAGGAGTGATGGAGAAGGACAAGAAAGAGGATGGGAGAAGGAATATTGGAAGACATGCAAGAGAAGGAAAAGGAGACAAGGAGGTGTGGTGAAGGACAAGAAAGAAGAGGAGGAGGAGGAGGAGGGGCAGAGACAAGGAGTGAGGGAAGACATGCAAGAGAAGGAAGAGGAGACAAGGAGTGATGGAGGAAGAGGAGGGAGGAGCCACGGAGAAGTTAGGACAGGGTGAAATCAACCCCTTTAGAGATGATAAACACATGGTTGACAGACACAGATAGGTAGATGATCGATAGGGTTGATAGACAGATATAGAGGACAGACAGACTGAGAGGTAAATGGGGGCCCCTGTCAATTCAAGGGCCACACCGTATTCCGCGAGAACAGCAGCCTAACCTTCCCTCCCCCTGGGCAGAATCTGGTTCCCCCCACACACACCCGGGCCCAGCTGCTGTGGCTCTTTCCAGAAAAGCTCTTGTTGATGCATTCAGAGCACGGATGTAAACAACTTGGCAGCCGGTCCAGGGGATGCAGCCAGCACCGTTAGGGAAAGATGCTGGAAATATAAACTCCTGGAGTGGGGAGGTTTCTCCAGTGGATGCAAGCCGTCCCCTGAAACGACATAGAAATTTGGGAGGGGGGGGTGTGTGGCTGGTGGGGGTAGGGGGGGGGGGGAAATGGGAGAATGAGCTGGCTAAACCGACTCGGTTTCCCCATCTAGTGGTTCCCTTTCAAAAGTGCAGCTCTGCAACTCTGGCGACTCAAAAATAAAACCGGAAAGAAAGGAAGTTTGGTTTTTCTTTTTTTCTTTTTAAAAAAAAAAAGGCAAAAAAGCAGCTTTTGCAAATGGAAGCGATTGGCCCATCGTGCTTTCTGAACAGAATGAGGAAGTGAGCATCAGGCAGCTCTACATCACACGTGTGTGTGTGTGTGTGTGTGTGTGTTTTCAATCTCTCTGTACAGCTAGTGCTCGACTTACAACCGTTCATTTAGTGACTGTTCAAAGTTAACAACGGCACTGGGGGGCGGAGAGAGAGAGACTTGGGATCATTTTTCGCACTAATGGCCGTCGTAGCATCCCACATTCGGACGCTTGGCAACTGTCTCGTATTTCTGACGGTGGCAGCGCCCCATGACAAGCCAGAAACCAAAACAACACCTTGGAAGAAAAGAAAGAGCAAACCGCTTTCTCAACGCTGCCAAGAAAACTGAGTCAATGTTGGCACCGGGCATCAATCTGGAGTTTGTGTTGTCACAGTTACACAACAGCGGGCAGCAGGAATAACACAACCTTGTGTGTTTTGCAAAGGAACACCATCGTGGGCCCTGGGGGGCGGGGGCGGTGGAGGGCAGGTGCCTTTAAACCGGGAATCGCTTCCTTGGGGATTCGTTCTTTGGAAAACTCCAATGTTTCCAAGGAGCTCGTGTCACATTGGAGCCCTTAGGCATTGTTGTGACAACACACAACCGTTTTCACAACGTGGCAACGTAACTAAGAAGGCCCCCAGTCAGCACAGAGGGAATGAGAGGTCTGAATGAATGCTGGGGAGGGGGGAGAGGAGGGGGAAATCCAGAACTCATTGCAGCCGAAGACAATTTTTTAAATAGATATTGGGCTTATTTTAAAGACGCAAGGGGGGAAAAAACAAACTTGGGGTGCTGGTGAAGGAAAGGGTAGGAAGAAGAAGAAATGATGCTATTAGCCGGGCTTGTGAAGATAGTTTATGTTTAATACATCTGGAAAAAAAATGCATATACAAAGAACTCAGACATGGAGAAAGGGGAAGAAAAACAGCCATCAGTTCCAACACTAATGAGTCTACGAGAAATTAGAATCTGGGTAGATTTGTAAAAGGTTATTAAAAGCCAGAGTATATTTTGGGAAGATCCCGGTGAAGAGTGAAGTTAAAAGAAGATCCTCACCCACCAGGAGACCTCCTGGAATCCATCCCAACCTCTTACCAGCCCTTGCAAAACACGTTATCAAAATACCTTCTCCTGTTTGGGGTCTCTTTCCATGAAAAACCCACTTAGTGGCACGCGGAGAGTTCCCTAGGCTCCAAGTCTCGAACCTCCGAAGGCAGCTTGGGGGGGGGGGGGGGGGGGGGGG